TCAGTGGATCGCTGAGGTGCGCAAACCGTCACGCCACGGTAAAGTGCAGTCTCTTCGTGACGGCATTGTTCTAGCACCTGACGCAGTGTGAAGATTTAGTCAACGCAGCCCCTGCCAGGCCGGAATCCCACTTGCTGCTCTCGAGTCAGTATCTCACGAGCCATCGTAAGGCGACGAAGCAGCAGTTGTACGGCGTTAGCTGTTTATGTTCGGTCATGCACTCAAATGAAAGAAACCCGTTTTGAAGCTCGAGATGGCTCAGTGGTTAAAACGCGAATTTACTGGCTGCAAGATCCGTGGTTCAAACTCGACCTCTGAATCTCGACATCTCCTACCTAAGCTTGGGAAAATTGACAGTATCCCATCCCTCGTGCTTCCTTCGGGAGGGAGTATGGCAGCTAGATATCGAGAGGTTGCTATAGCTGACCGGTTATTATGATTATCGGTTGACAGTCAGCTGTGAATTGCCAGCATTAGTGATACTATTTTCCGGCTGGGGGGTTGAATAACCAGGCAGAAGATATGTCCATTATGAGAAGGGAAACCGTTGAAGAGAGAGGGGGATGTATCAATGCTTCCGGAAGCGGGCCTTTCTTAGAAGCGGCTGATCTGATCTGGTCCTGATGGAGTTCGTTTGTGAGAGCGAATACCGTTTCTGATAACCCGTTTGGTATTCCCGATATAGGTAGAACGTGCAGTGATCGTCGCTAAAGACTCATCTAGTTTCATGACCTTGTTTTGTTAAAAGATAGGTTCAAATTGAAAATTCAACCGTCCTCCGGTGGTTGTGTCGTGCAGACGGTCGGTGCACATCGCATGCTATTGGACGGGCATTCTCTTGTAAAACCTATTGGCTTGATATCCCAATCCTTTGGCGTGTTTCATAGCGGTTTTTTTAAGGTAGATTTGACGTTCTTCATGCATTCTACTTTACAGGCTGAAGGTCCCGAGAATGATGATGAAGGTGCTAGACCGTCAAAGAAACCGCGGACAGAGCATACCGCGGAAGAGCCTGCTCACTGGGATTTGAAAAGACAACAGGTGTTGGTCGTCAAATCTGCGCGTTCCAAAACAATTGAGCGTAGCCGTATCACTGTGACTGTGGACCAGGTAATCCTTTTTATGTCTTTGAACAATACAATCTGTTTATATGTATGAGATAAAGGTTAAATCTCCGCTCATTTCTCGGTGTGGTCCTCCCAAGCGGTCGTTTTCAACAGAACAAACACGACTGACACGCTAAGCGCGTTGAAATCAAGTAATTGAAGTGTGTAATGCTAACATCCAAAAAATTCGGACGCCTTCTGGACGCGCCACTGACAACCAGTATCCAGCTAATATTCGAACACCATTGACTGTTGGGTCCATATTATCGACCATTTGGAGCCCACCTTGATGTGATGGGCTGAGCAGCATTCCCATCTTTTGACCAATCACGTACGGGTTACACCCGCTGACCGTTGCGGCGCATAATTGCGGTTCGAACGCAGAATATTGGATTCTGATTGGTGGGCCTTTGAAATGTCGAATAAATTGCACGTTTTGATATGCATTCTTACCCTGATTCAAGTGCCCATCGTGACAGAGTCGCATTAAGTCTCCATGGTGCTAGTCAAGTGGAATCTGGACTCGGAAACAGGTCAAAACATCGTTCAAAATTGCGACCTGTCCTCGCGTGCAACCGTTGGTGGATTGTTGCCAAAAGTTCCACAGATTCATTTTATTTTGATGTAAACGGAACTCTCTAAATCTTCAAATCGGTAAGGAGGAGATTTAAGTTTTAGGAAGCTTAGGAATTGTATCTCACTCGCTCACGAAAGGGCAGATTAGCACGTGCCGAAAAATTACTGCTCCAAAAGACAATAATTTACTGGCTGATTTCGGAATTGTGCTTGGAAAGATGGGAATAAATTGCACCCGACCAATTTGATTGAGTAGTTTGGACGCGTCGATAACCTTGTTCGATTTATTGCTTGACACGTGATCAGTTTTTATGGTTTGTTTTCTTTAGCTAATATTTCGATGCTTGAATTTACTTCGTAACGGTGCAACGGTGGATACTACTGATAAGGTATGCGAGTAGCATGTCTTCCCGTAAATCCGCTTCGCGTCTCTTAAAAAGTGAGATTTATTACGGAATTTGTGGAGTTGCTTTATAGCATTTGCTTGCATTAAAGTAACAGTCAATGAATATTCAGGAAAGTTCAGAAGGATGCGTTCAAGGAGAAGGTGGGTATTCGTTTTTAGTAAACAAGGTGCATATGAGAGTTTTGCTTCCCTGTCCAATAGTATGCAACTGTTCAGTTGGTGTTTCTTCAGTAAACAGCTCAGCAGCGAAGGCCTTCTTCCTTTCAACAGTAGGATGCAACCATTTTCACACACCACGTCCTCACGTTGCCATATTCTACTTCTACACTAATTAGGACGGCTCTCCTTGGGGAATTTAACTGCAGCTAGGTTGCTAGTGTACAGATCAGTCCTATTACCGTGTACGTACTTGTTTCTCGTTATTTTAGCTACCGCCGGCAGTTTTAACCAAACCAACAAGACAAACACGGTTGGTGGGAGACTTGTGATTCTTATCGTTCCATTACTGACTGCTTGCGCTTGCACGGCTTAATTCATTAAGGTGCCATCATAACCATGCTTGTTTGGGTCCCTTTTTGTGGCATAGTTCTGGTGGTTGTGATGGAAAATTATCGTTACTACTTCCCTCTGTCAACGATTTTGTTTAATTTACTTCCCAGACCTTGGTCGGCCTTTTTTTGGTAGCATTGTATCATCTACTCTCTATTTTTGCCGTCAACGGTAATCACGACTCACTCAATTTTATTAATGACCCTGATACTGGCTTCCTATCTTGTTTCTGTTGAACGGAGCCGTGGTGATCAGTCGATATATGCACCGTTTCATATCGCTCTTGTTTCCCAAAATTGTTTTTTTTTCACACCGTTTCATATCTTGTTTCCCAAAATTGTTTTTTTTTCACAGCCTGTTTGCAGTTTGGATTGGCACCCAAAAGGAGACTATCTTCTCTCACTGTCCCGACCAATCCTATCCAACGAACTACAATCACGTTCAGTCAGACGTCTGCTTCTCCATCGGCTATCTAAAATGTCGAGCCAGTCTCCTTTCTCTTCGACCAGCAAGGCCGCCGAATGGCGTCAGGCGGCTTTCCATCCAGCTGGTAAGCCGCAGTTGTTCGTGGCCAGTTCACGCACCGTCCGAATCTACGACCTGGTGCAACAGCGCGAGCTACGCTGCCTCCGATTGGACAGCACCGGCGACTTCCTCAGTTCAATGGCTTTGCATGTATCAGGTTCGTTTTTTCATATAAGCAGGTTATAGGTTGTTTCCAGCAACCTGTTGGACCGCGTTGAGCTAAATAATTCAATCGAAGGTCTATCTACAAATGCGGTACTTCAAATGCAATAATAAAATAATAAAAATATACGCTGGCTTCTATTCAACGGTTTAGGAACTGCTAATTTCTAACGGATCCCAAATTTCACACCGACTGAAAGATACTAAGGTTAAAGAACGGTTTATGTTCAGGTTAACAACAATAAAGGTGGCGCAAAAACGGGAGACGCCGTTGTACAAAATGAGAATAGAGGAAAAGAATCAACACATTTTGTCACTTCTTTGTGCCATATTTCTATCGTGCGACCTGGGTCTGAAGAGTACAAGGTCCTTCAAGCCCAGATAACATCGGTTGATGTATCAGAGGCCGTAGGATCCGAACCTTTCTGATATCTCCAAGCCACTCTCGTAATCGGACCTTTTTTTGTACATCGTTTGATGCACTCGCCTGTCCAGTAGAAATAAACAATGTGCGTCGTCGACAGTACATCACTGTTCAACTCTGATGCTTCGCCGCCGTACAACCATGATGTATTTTATATTAGTTTTCGGGGTGAACCCCTAGGCCTTGTACCATTTGCTTCATTTGTGCGTGGATTTCGTGGTGTCTGTGAGGATATTTTGCTTCTTGTAATGTCACTTGCAAACGTAAACATCATTCTGGTTCCGATCCCAACCATATTCCGGAAGGCCCGTTGATTTTCAGTCTGCTTTTTTTTACCTAGTTTGAGCACCGGTGTAGGTCGGTCTCATTCGGTATCTTTCGCTATCTACTCTGTCCTCACTTTTGTCAACAACTCGGATATAACTGTGCCTTCGTGAGTTTTCTAGAGCTGCCGTCCATTTTACCAACACTGAAAGTTAATTCCTCACACTTATGTGAACTTTGCTGTAGCTTGTATCTCATCCGCGGTTTTGAGCCCTCAGTTTCTCCGAAACATGCTGTGACTTGTTCTACGATGTTTGACCATCATTTACTATTTGGGCCTATTAAACGCAGCTTTCTGTCTCTCTCGCCCAACGAAGAACAGCGCGTTTCCACCCTCTCAAGAACATTTGGTAATAGTCGTTGGTTTGTTCGTTGAGCTGAGCAATTTGATTGCAAATGTTTTATCACCAGTCGAGGTGACATCATCAGTGCGTTATTGGGGAGCGTAGCGGTGGGTTAGTGGTTGTGCGTTAAGTAGTGTTACGTGTGTCGTAATGTGTGTGCTGCTACCCGGTAATTGTTCGGTCGGGGGTTCCATGGCTTGCTCTGTGTCCTGGTTCTTCGATTCCCACGTGACTTATGAGCTTGTCATCCCATCCCTCGTACTCTGTTCTTGACCCTTCCGAGTTCCGGCTTGTGACCTTTATTGATCTGACTCCCAATCGATCCTTGTTTCTTAGCATTTCAGTCCGATATTCGCTTTTCCTTAACAAACTAGGATTCACGATAACAGAACAACTAATAGAACCGCCCAACCGAACAACCAACTGTGTTCGAAGGTCAGCCCCGGCTAGTATATTAACAGGCAACACAACTCAACGCACAAAACCCCCACTACCACGCTCCCTAACAACGCACTGATGATGTCACCTCGATCGGCGATGAAACGTTTGCAATCAAATTGCACAACTCAGTGAACGAACCAACGACCATCTACGCTACCTGAGCTACTAACATTTTCCTCTATAGAAAACGTTCGGTAGTGTTTCAGAATATAAATAGTTCACAGGCGCTTCGCTGTTGGTCTGTTTGCCGAGTGCTAACGGACCAAAAGTCATAAACCTCTTCAGATCTGCGACAATAAACATAAGGGTAAACTTGCCGTTGTTATTTCATCTGAGGTGGGTACTTTGGTACGACATGAGGCTGGATCGTTAACTTGGAAAATACTCATTGATACGTCCCCCTCATATATCAAGTTTGATTTTCTCTCTTTGTAGGTGAACACTTGATTGTAGGAACGTTCGATGGTCGCTTCAACTGGTTTGACATCGATTTGGGTAACGTACCGTTTAAAAAGCTAAAGTAAGTTCATCGATTGTTCTGTTCACGATATTAGTCCCATCTAAGACCATCCAAGAGATTTTGTTTGGTACCAACGGTAACTAGGTGTTTTAGTGAACCGGGGAGATGGCCCTGTGGTTAAAGCGCGAATTTACTGACCGGAAGTTCCGCGGTTCGAACGCGACCTTTGCCTCTCAACTTCCCCTGTCTAGGTTTGGGCAAGTTGACAGTATCCTAGCCCTCGTACTTCTTTTGGGCGGCATGGCAGCTAGGCACCGAAAGGGTGTTATAGCTGTACGAATTTTCAATGAACCAAGCAAACATGATTTCTTTTGATGAATGGTATCTTTTCAGTTTGGTTCTCTGCAATACAGGGCGGTAGTACTTGGAGGAATTATGAAAACTGCCCGAATTGTTTTCAATCAATTGGAGAACGTTTGGAACCTATTGAGAAATCATCGTTTGGGAAGAGCTTGGTAAACAACCGGTAGTTTTTCATTTGAGCAACGTTTCGCTTTTGACACAAAAGCTTCATCAGGCCAAGTGAGCAAGTCACCAAATTGGCCGGGTTATAAGACAGACGGAGAACCAATCAGTAAGTCATCTTCCGATTATCACACTAGATCAGTGTTGAGTGTCAATTAACGGCTCTTGTCGGGTTACGAAAATCTTGGATTGATGGGTTGGAGGAGTTTCAAATTATTTCCGATCGCTTTTTGTTCCTTTATCTTCCACTTGAGGGTGCTTCACTTGATGATTCAACTCGATGCCACCGGTAGGTTTTCCTTGATCTTCGTGGGTATATGGATGTTGCGATAATTTAGTTGGGGGGCGGGGAGGTGCGTAAGGTTAAGTGGAAGGAATATAATGACTAACTACTCTTCCCTCTGATAGTCGCACACCAACACGTGTTAGCTTGATTGACCCAAGACCGTTCTCCACACGCTTGCCAGTTCCATACCTTCTATTCTGTTAACACTAGGATGCCTCGGCTATCAGTGACGTAGACCGTAGTCCTCTCCTCAAAACCTCAACATTTTCTCAGTCTATTTTGTGTCCCGTGTTCAGTGCGTGTTCTGCGATTGCCGAGTCTTGCAGCAACGCTTGATATTTATCTCCGTTTCTTGGTGACCTGTTTATCTTTCTACTGTGCTCTCCGATTCCGATGTGTAGTTCCCTGGCCGTCTGTCCTACATATACCGTGGTGCAGTCGTTACACTTAATTTTGTAAAGGACTTGAAGAGGACTCCTTAATTGGTTCCCCGCCTGTCTTATAACCTGGCCAATTTGGTGACCTGTTCACTTGGCCTGATGAAGCTTTTGTGTCAAAAGCGAAACGTTGCCGAATAAAAACTACCGATTGTTTACCAAGCTCTTCTGAAGCAATCCCTGAATTGTAGTTGCCTGACTACCACACATGCTTGTTTCATCCTCGTCTGAACTGGGTTACGCACTTCAGGATTGAAGAAGACGCTTTCCATGATTTTCCGGTGCAATTCATCGTGAAGATGTCGACTTCTTCCCATTGGATTAGCAACCTTCAGAATAATACTTTTGGTATGATATGATTTGCTTGAACATTACTCTGCTGGTTTGGTTCCTCGTGGAAACTCTAGATGAGACCACTCTTTTTGGGCCTCTTCAGGTGGTCCGTACAGAGGGAAGCCATTGTATTTTGAAAGGCATGTTCCCTGAGAAATAAGTAAACCAATTAGACCGGGCATTCACCATATTATTGAAGCCTGTAAAACCGAATGATCGAGATGGTGACGAAAAATTTCTACCTTGGGCTGTTTGAACAGAGATATCTTTCCCAGCGAAGCACTTTTGGTCCATCTTTCAGGTTGGTCCCTGCAGAAGGGATATACCAAATGCCATCAAGCTATCCTGTTATTGTTGTTTATATGAAAAGATTGGAGTTTCTCAGTCACGTTTTTATCCTGCGAATCAAATCAATGTGTGGTACCCCCGATAATGGGTTGGTCACTTAGTTAAAGTGCTCTGGCTGTTTCTTTTCAAGTACTCAGATCGCCTAACTAAAACAACAACTTTTATACTTTCTGGATACAGTTGCTGAGAAAACCGTACTCTGGGGCAAGTGCTTGGAGCGAGCCACCGATCAGCTACTGGTGTGCATGCAGATTACTTTAATCATTATTATTAGTGCCAGACGCTACTATTTTAACTCTGCGAATCTGACTCTAATACTTGCGGATATGCTCAAAGTGGCTCGGCGCGAAACTACTTACCGGATGGTCCGTGATTCGAACCTAACCACAGTATTTCCGACTGCTCCTGTCTTGGCTTGAACAACCTGGCAATATCTCAGCCCTCTTGCCTTCTCCGGACGTCATGGCAGCTGGGCACGGAAAGAGGGTTACAGATGAAACAT